AAAAAAAAAACTAAACTGCGGCCGCGCTCAAATTTTTGGCGGAGCCCCATCGCGAATGAACTTGATTAGGGATGTCAAGCTGAAAATTCATGCTAAACATTCAAGCTGGACCCTCAAACCTGACCTATTACTGAACAGTTCACTTTAAATCAATCGATCAGGATTAATTTCGCAAAACCAACACTGAGAAGCAATGCAGCTCGGCAAGACGCCAACAAACTTCCGATGTTTCGCCCATGAGCCAAAGACCACCAGTTTTTAAAAGCGCAACACGTCCTTGAAGAAATAGCGGACAAGAACTGAACAGACTCAGTCTTAAATGCAATTTTATGCACGCAGAGCAAAACTGCCTTCTTCTGACAAACATTTTGTTCCAAACAAAGGACTGATTGAAACCCACCAAACAAAGGATGCTAAAAATGCAAAAATTATGCGTGTTATGTTACTCTCCCAATAGCGAAATTTACGAAACACAAATCATCTACCAATAAAGTCATGAGTCAGTTTTTGCACACGCTCTAGCCAAACTTTTCTCGTCTGAACAAAAAAAGGAATGTACTTTCAAATTATCCGCAAAAGCAACAACCTAAGCCGCGAGAGACTGAAAAAAGAAAAAAGAAAAAAAAAAACGAATAAAAAACTTAAAGAACTTGGGTCTCAAACTCGCGTCTCACCCATCTCCAGGTGTACAAAAGCTTTAAGTACGCAACATCAAGTTCAACCTCAAATTAAAGAGCGAAAGACGGGCCAAATGCTATTCAGCAACAATCCTTGACTACAACAGTAAGGCAGCCTCACAATAATGGAATTGCTCAGCACTCCTTCAAATCGAAAATAAAAGGAAGCAAATACAATATACCGCAACAAACGCCTGAAAAAGAAGTAACCAACTAACTACAGTGCCAGGTCCAATAAGAACCAACAGTGATAGAGAGACTGACATCTGGAGCAGAAATGACGCGGCGAAGCCAAGAGAGTAAAATAAATGGCCATAAGCTTACACACGTGATACTTAACCAGTCTATATGAGCAGTTAATTTTAGAAGTCTTACAAAAAATCAAATGGGTGAAAAATATAGTTCTCTAGGTAAAAAAAAAATAAAAAATATTACAGTCCCGTTACAAAACTTTTTCAATCACCACAATCAACTGCCTCGTGTGGTTAACAGCTACAAGCCGCAGTTAACCTTCGTTAATGAGGAAGAACCCACTGATACAATTTAAAAGAAGACAGCAAAAAAACATCGACAGCACACAAAAATCCTGACTGCAACCATCGCGAGAACTTGCAACAACACCACCCTAAAAAAACGTCTTATCCAGTCGACAAAACTAACCCGTACACCCCCCTCACATCACACCGCCCAACCAGTCCCAACCGACCAGTCAGCCAACCAACCACCATGCAAAAAGACGGACGCAAGCAATGATACGATGACATCTGTCAAACAATTAAATAAGGTTCATTTCAAATCAATAACGTCGATTTGTTGTTTTGGCGCCCAAAACTTTTGTTGTTTCAGAGGAAGTAAAATCAGAAATCCAGGTCATCATCCAAGTCATAGGCTTACTGTTTATCAAATACCCTCACCGCTTGCGTACTGAGGCCGTTGCGAAAAATGCTGCATGTAGCCTAAGCTTCAAACTGTGGCAATGAAGAATTTACAGGAATTTCAAAACGTTTTTGAGTTTTAGCGCTTTGGTTTTGTCAGCTCAGAAGCAAATAAATCCTGTCGGCTGTGAATCCAGAAGACTTCTACCCTCTGAACACTAGATTGACAGTAGGTGAAGTAACAGCGATAACTGTCGGACATTTTTGAAGATTCTTCGCAGACAGCACTCATATGCAAATAACAGTTTTTTATTTTGAAAAATGAAATAAAAATGCATTTTCATTAAAAGCCATATCAACTTCCTTCTTTATTTGGTTCCTTCCATTGCTTTCTTCTCTCTCTTTTCCCTTTTTCCTTCTGTTTTTTTCCCTTGACTTTTTCATTAAAAAGAATTTAAAACAAGTCTTCACTTTTGTAGATAACATTTAGTCTAAAAATCCCCTAACTACAAAAACATCTGATCAACCATGTTAATTCTTTTTGAAAATGCCGCTTAATTGTAAATACAAGATAGTTATCGGAACGTAAAAACAGGAAAGAAAAAAGAACTCATTTAGCACTAATTAAATTGCTGCTGTCCCATGAACACAAGCGATGTATCAGAACAGAGCGTGTGGAATTTTAAAAAAGCAGAAACAATAATTTAAAGAGTCGTTGATCTATTTTTCTTAAATTTTCTTCTACAGTGAGAGATTCAGAACTGAAAAAAATGAGACTGGAACCGTTAGACCGAGTGTGAGACGTGTAACTTGTTTTAACTTTTGCGGATTTGTTCGACCAGTATTAAATTAAAACTCCCATCGCATTATTTTTTTGCCTCCATAATTCCAGGAGTTCAAATTAATATATTTATTCGGTAAACTGAAGTGGAAATACTGGGACCATATAGACAACGACAATGTGGTACGGGTTCTAATTTAGCACTGCAGCCAGTAATTGTTTATAATTTCTATCAAGTAAATAAGCTTCCTACAAAGATTATAAGACATGGGTCGTTGTCGAAAGTTTCGTAACCTGTAGCTAAAGTAGCGCATTTAACATTAAATTTTGTTAGAGATACACCGGTATTTTGAAAAAAAAACCGGTGTTTTTACAATTTCACGATGTCTTAAGTTTAACAATTTATGACCATGAAAAGCTTTACCTATTCCAAATTTGGGTGTTATGGGTTCTAAAGCTTTTAATTTTGCATATCAGAGACGGTACAAATGAATGTCATTATTTTGGTGTCATTTCGTGTGACACAAATCCTTAAGAGAAACAAGCTAATTTTTAGCTTTCACACACCTCAGTAATCGCCAGCATAACAAAACCACCTTTTCATAGCTTTTCTTTTTGGATTGCTATGAGTGTAAAGTCTTTTCTTTTGCTTCTGACGTTACGGTTAAGCTTCTAGGCATAAAACAGAAAAAGAGGCGAAAAAAATTCGGATGGGAGATAAATTAGAAAGTTCTGGTGTGAAAAAAAAGACAAATTTCCCTTTGCGATAAAAAAAAATGCATTTAAGCGTTTCTTTCAGAGGCAAAAAAAAGAGAGAAAAAATGGGTGAATTCAGTGGGGGATACAAAGGAACAACAGCAATCGTTGAACAAAGAGGTAATTGAGACGCAAGACGAACGAAGGAGAAAAGGGGGAACAATATAAGAAAGGGATCATCGTTCCGAGTACGGCGAAATTAATTGCTACATCGTCCGTTCGAAAGGAGAGAAATTTACTCAATATATATATACATTTATATATTTATATTTATATATATAAACTATATATATTAACATATGTATATATACATAGATATATTTATTTGTTTGTTCATCAATTTACTTCTGTTTGTATATTTGTTTATTTATAAGCTTAAAACAGAACAGAAAGAAAGAGTTTTCATCGGAAGCGAAACTACTTTTATATTTCCATGAGAGAAAGGAAAATAAGCCTCAAAGGCGAAGGAGAGGAAAACGCGAGCAGAAGTTGGGTTGAAGGGGAAGAGGAAGGCAAAAAAAAGCAGCATTTTTC